CTCCCCCCGCCACAGACACTCACTTTTTGCGTGGCCCGAGGGTGTGGGTCCCAGTCAGGCACACCAGGCACAGCCCTGCTGTCAACACAGAGGCTCAGCCCCTCACCCAGGCCCTGCTGTGGTGTCCCCCACAAGCCTCTGCACCCCCAAAACAGGGCCAGGATTGGCCACCCACCATGCAGCGATGCTCTTGGCACTGGTGACCCCCTCCCTCCCACTGCTCCCTCTTGCCTGGGAAGATGAAGATGAAGAAGGCGCTGATGCCCCCAATGAGCTCGATGACCTTGCCGATGTCAGGGACGAACAGGGCGATGGCAAGCGTGGTGGCCATCCAGGCAACCGTCAGCGCCACCCGGCTCCGCCGCTCGTGGGCCTCGGGCACCTCCGTGACCCCGCGCTTGGGATTCGTGAACACATCCCGCACCACCGACCTGGGGGGGGGCTGATGGCACACAACAGGGCTGCACCGGCCGGGGGGAACACCCTGCTTGGCACCACCCCCTCACCTGCCCAGCAGCACCACGATGGGGTAGATGGTGACAACGGAGACGCCAAAGAGCAGGCGGGCGACAATGACGACTGGGTCATTCCCTGGGTAGGACATCAGGACATCGGACGCCACGGCATCGCCGAAGGTCAGGTAACCGTAGAGCCCTGCTGACGGGGAGGCAGGGTGGGCAGCCGTGCCGGGGAGGAGGACAGAGGAGCCCCAGGGAGGACGGCTGAGCCCTGGGGACCCCCTGGGGCAAGGCAGGGGTGAAGGGCTCCGGTGCTGGGGTTACCGGTGAGGGAGTAGATGAGCAGGCAGACAAGCATGGAGAGCACGGACACAGCGACCCAGTGGGAGAAGCTCTGGTTGCGCATGCTGCTGTAGATGGCCACGCAGGCCTCGTGGCACTGCAAGGCATGGGGGGACGGCACTGGGGCCCCGTGCAGGGACAACCCCCACCGCAGTGCCTTCCCTTCCACTCTCCCTTGTCCCCAGGGGCTTGTCTTCCTTCCCACAGCCACTTCTGGTGACAGCTATGGGTGCCCCGCACCCTCCCTGCCAGGGGACGTTTTCCCCACGGGCCGGATGCTGTGGGAGGCTGCCGGTGCCACCCAGGCAGCTGGGGACAGTGGGGCCAGGGGGACCTACCTGGAAGCCGAAGCAGATGGTGGGGATGACACTGAAGATGGAGGCCCAGGAGGAGGCCCTGCGGATGTGGGGGGAGGAAGTGCAAAGGGCGTGAGGCCCCCAGAGGCAGAGGGGACCTTGGTGGCATCAGCTGTGAAGCCCAGATGCCACCGCGGCAACCTCCTGCCTGGTGATTTTGGGAGAAGAGGGGATTGTTGGGGCAAAAGCTGGGACCAGGGGCTGCCACCTACCCACTCCCCCGTCAGCGCTTTCCCTAACTCGACCCCACACACCCCCCGGGCCACCCCCCGCACTGTCTCCAGCCCTGCTCTGTGTCACTGCTGATGTCCCCGCAGGGGACAGAGAGGGATGCACGGCTGGCCCACCTACCTGGAGGGCTGGGGGGGCTCGGGGGAGCCCAGGCTCTCTGCCTGCAGGTGGTATTTCAGGACAATGACCAGGGTGAGGTAGCAGGCGGCCAGCGTGCCCAGGATGCTGCCGGGGCACGGGGCAGTGTCAGCAGGTGGACCCCTGGCAGCCGGGAGGGTTGGGGGGGGTCCCACAGGGACCCGGGAGGAGGTGGCCTGGGGTGCCCAGGGGT